ATTGCATAAATTATTGGCAGGCATATTTCGCTATATCTTGTCAGTTGTTTTACTACCGAGCTGCATTAACTTATAAGAAAACACACAGACTGAGTGTAACAATGAATCCCCAGTGCAGGCATATTAGTGTAACAATCGATCACTAGTGCAGTCATAACAGTGTAACAATTGATCACTAGTGCAGTCATAACAGTGTAACAATCGCTCACTAGTGCAGTCAAAACAATGCAACAATCGATCACCAGTGCAGTCATAACAGTGTAACAATGAATCCCCAGTGCAGTCATAACATTCAATCAACATTGCAGTCATTAAAATGTAACAGTCCATCACTAGAGCAGTCATAATAGTGTAACAATGTAGCAGTTGATCACCAGTGCAGTCATTACAGTGTAACAGTCCATCACTAGCGCAGTCATAATAGCGTAACAATGTAACAGTTGATCACCAGTGCAGTCATTACAGTGTAACAGTCCATCACTAGTGCAGTCATAATAGTGTAACAATGTAACAGTTGATCACCAGTGCAGTCATTACAATGTAACAATCAAAACAATCAATCACCAATGCAGTCATAACAGTGAAACAATCAGTCACTAGTACAGTCATAACAATGTAACAGTGAGTACTAAACACGTTTGGAAACTGTTTTAAAGAATAATAGTTTGTGTTAGCCAGAAGGAAACAATGCAAGCAGAGAGAGAGAGACACACACACACACGTACACACACAGGGAAGAGACACACACATACACACAAATATAAATATATATACATATATATATATATATATATATATATATATATATATATATATATATATATATATATATATATATATGCCCGGCTCTCTAGCGAAGTTAGTTAAACCTGACTTTCGCGGCGGCCGGGTGACAAACTCCTTGTGGTCCGGGTTCACTCCGGGGGGTAGGCAGAAAAGCCACATTTCTCCCAGATTAACGGTACCTATAATGGAATCAATGCCGAAGGGTTGCGATATCCATAGTACCGAGCCAAAGGGTTTACAACTTATGGTTTCTGGATACGTAAAAAAAAAAAATATATATATATATATATATATATACATATATTAGAGCAGCTGAAGGAACCAAGGCTTATCTTGACTACTTGCCTGTACCACTTGACCAGTTCAAGATTTATAGCATACCAGCAGACTGCCTGATTTGGTTTGCATTATATTAGAAAGCCTGGCATCCTATAGTAGTACTGACCAGAGAGCTCATCTCTGGAGACTGTGGAAAATGTTTGAGTTCAGATTATGTTTATTGCACTCTGGGCTAGTCAAAGGGTGTTCCATCTCCTTTGTCTTTGGACATATTTGATATGGTAGTGAGGCATAGAAATATCAGCCATGATAGTTGTAAGTGTAACTATTAAGACCTGTTCACTTGGTGGGAGCTTTTGTTATACATTAATACCAGGAGAGGAGAAAGTCGGAGGGGTGAACTGTTTATCTTCATATTATCTCATTGAGTTCATCTTGATATCTAACTATCCTTTTCCTACTCCTGTGGATACAAGTACAGCTACTTTCATTTTATCGTGTGAGCCACTTTTGCTGTTTTCTTGGTTATCCAGGACTGTGTATAAGATCAACATAGCTCAGATATTAGTCCAGTTTCTCCCGTGGGTGTGCACTGTAAGGGTTCAAACCCACATACTCACTACATAAGTGTATATTCTCACATGGGTTGGCGACAGTTTGTTTGCTTAGGTTACTGAAGTAGTTCCGTTTATAAAATTCTAAAATGATAAAGTTTCTCTGTTCTGGAGATCATCATCATACTGTGTTGTTATATGTCACATGAGGCTCACCATCTAGTCCTCGAATTTGTTTTGTCCAGTACAACTATTTCAGCATCATGAATGGAATCCAGTCAATCGCCAGCTTAGGGTTTCATTTGGGCCTCCTTATCTCTTCGGTGTTTTTGTTTCCCATTTAAATGCCTGTTCCCCCGTGTGGGTTCCGGGGCCCCATTGTGGGGGAAAACAAGAATAGACCCACTGCCTCCCCAAAAGCATGTTGTAAGAGTCGACAAATTGGGGAGCTTCCTTTGAAGTCGGAGTGCATCTGCCGGAGAGGCAAGGAACCAACAGTTGGTATTCAAGAGAATGAGATCTGTAAATCTGATGCACACGCAACACTCAGGTTCTGGAGCAGGACTGCAGTTCAGTAGTGGACGAGCAACCAGAATCTTCCGCCAGAGTTTACACCTGGTGAACGCGAAGAAGAAGAAGAAGAAGAATGCATGTTTAGTGATCCACAGGTAGTATATCACCACCTTCTCTATCTTATAACTGTTGCCCAGATATTTCTCTTATTTCTTCACCTTTCTCAGACTCTAATTTATTGTTTATCAGTTTCCTCAACCATTTCTTTGTGGATACATTTCACCTCTGTTGCTTGTCTCTAGCGGTTCTCCAACTTTCACTGCCATAAATTGAAACTGAAATAACATAAGAAGGGAAAATACATAATTTCTTTCTTTGGGTTTCCTTGGAAATAATAATTGCTCCTTAGGTCAAGTTATCTATTTTTGTATTTCTTTTGTGTGTGCGCTGTGTTCCTTAAATACTTGTTCTCTTTGTCTGCAGTGTGTTCCTACAATACTTGTTCTCTTTGTCTGCAGTGTGTTCCTACAATACTTGTTCTGTTTATCTGCAATGTGTTCCTACAATACTTGTTCAGTTTGTCTGCAGTGTGTTCCTACAATACTTGTTACAATGGGTTACTGTAACAAGTGAGTGAGACACAAACAATTAGGATACAATGGGTTACTGTAACAAGTGAGTGAGACACAAACAATTAACAATTAGGATACAGTGGGTTAATATAACGAGTGAGTGAGACACAAACACATAGGATACAGTGGGTTGAAATAATGAGTGAGTGAGACACAAACACATAGGACACATTTGGTTAAAATAACGAGTGAGTGAGACACAAACAGTTAGGATACAGTGGGTTAATGTAACAAGTGGGTGAGACACAAACAATTAGGATACAATGGGTTAAAATAACGAGTGAGTGAGACACAAACAGTTAGGGTATAGTGGGTTCTGTAAGAAGTGAATAAGACTCAAATAATTCAGAAAAACTGATCATGTCAGGAATTAGCAATGAGAACATGATTAGCTGTGTGTTACTGAATGAGGTCAGAGGGCAATCTTATTGAACCCAGTTGTAAATTTGTGGACATAGTCAAGTTAATTAAACTGACTGACACTTTGTAGCTTGTCTCATGTAACACACAAAACCATGCACACACACACTTTTAGTCTGGGGCAAGTGTAGTCTGTATTGAACTGTATCATCCATGCTAGTATCCAAACTAGGAAGACTGTACACTCACTGGCCAGTCAATACTTCAGTAATTAGAAAACTGGTTGGCTTCACAAATAATGACACAATAGTTGTGCAGTTTGCTGGGGGGAGGGGGCTTCACAAATAATGACACAATAGTTGTGCAGTTTGCTGGTGGGCTTCACAAATAATGACACAATAGTTGTGCAGTTTGCTAGTTATAGCTTGACACATACCTGTTTTCCTGGTTCAAACTTGAGCTTGTTGTATGTCATAGTTTTGAAATATCTAAGGTGTTTGCTTTGTTTAAAACAGCATAGGGTAACTTAATGCTACTTTGTTAGTTTGATGCTGTCTGTCTTTATGTATCTCTTTCACACTATCCCTCCATCCGTAGTCTGCCTGTCTGTCGTCCCAAAACACAGTGTGTTGTTTGGTCACTATGTTACTGTTGACTGCTTTATTAGGTCTTTCCTTTTCAGATGCTCATGGTTGGAAGTGTGTGTTTGAAGATAGTTTATGTTAGAGGCCTGTCTAGTCAGCCATGTTGTGGAGCCAGTTCTTTCTTCACCTGTCTTGCTTGCCTCTTTCTTGCATGCTGAGTCCTGTAGGGTGTTTTTGGTCTACATCCACACCCTTTCCCCTCTGTTGCAAACAATCATTTTATAATGCCAAGGAATGAATCAGTGCCATGAATGTAACTAAACAGTCAGTACCATGAGTCTAACTAAACAAACACAGCACATTTCCCACTGGTGGGTGGCTGGTGAGTTACAGAATTACAGAATGGATCATCAGACCTCATGCTTAACTTAATATAAGTGAAGTCCAGTAAAGTTGTACCACTTGTTGTAGTATTCCAGTCAAGTTGTACTACTTGTTGTAATATTCCAGTCAAGTTGTAGCACTTATTATAGTATTCCAGTCGAGTTGTACCACTTGTTGTATTCCAGTCAAGTTGTGCCACTTGTTGTATTCCAGTCAAGTTGTACCACTTGTAGGAGTATTCCAGTCAAGTTGTACTTGTTGTAGTATTCCAATCAAGTTGTACCACTTGTTGTAGTATTCCAGTCCAGTTGTACCACTTGTTGTAGTATTCCAGTCCAGTTGTACAACTTGTTGTATTCCAGTTGAGTTGTACCACTTGTAGAATTCCAGTCGAGTTTTATCACTTGTTGTATTCCAGTCAAGTTGTTTCACTTGTAGTATTCCAATCAAGCTGTACTACTTGTTGTAGTATTCTAATCAAGCTGTACCACTTGTTGTAGTATTCTAATTAAGTTGTACCACTTGTTGTAGTATTCTAATCAAGCTGTACCACTTGTTGTAGTATTCCAATCAAGCTGTACTACTTGTTGTAGTATTCTAATCAAGTTGTACCACTTGTTGTAGTATTCTAATCAAGTTGTACCACTTGTAGTATTCCAGTCAAGCTGTACCACTTGTTGTAGTATTCCAGTCAAGCTGTACCACTTGTTGTAGTATTCCAGTCAAGCTGTACCACTTGTAGTATTCCAGTCAAGCTGTACCACTTGTAGTTTCTGAAATGATATGTTAATGCAGGCATTCGATCAGCATCGCCCTGCAAGCTAGAACTCTACTGACTGACAGAGAATTTGTTAATTGTCTTTTTCAGGTCAGAAACTGGTATCCAAGGACACTGACAGCTGACAAAGATGGCCATAACAAGACTCGACTCCCACCGCTGTGCTGTCTTCCTGCTCACATTTTTCAGGTTTGTGGAGATTTTTGTGTTGCCAGATTGGTTTCTTGATCACTACCTGATTTGTTGACCAATATTGGCTAATTCAACAGCATCTGTACACAATACGAAGCCATGGTGGCTCAGTGGTTGGTCGTTTACTGGCTTTACTGTACATGTACTTAGTCAGTTATGAGTTAGATTATCTTCGCAACACTCCGGACACATCCATAGGCGCTCAGATTCCCCTCTCAACATATTCATCAGCATCGCACGGTTAATAGTACCAGTCCTATGTTGGTTAACAAGACTTCTTGTGCGTCTGGTGTTCTTCTCATGCTTGGCTGTGCCGATCTTTACTTCTAATTCTTGTATTCTTATCAGTGATGTGGACCCGTTGCTTCCAAAATCCTCAGGTTAATGTCTAAGGTTAATGACAATGCTAGATCCATGGGCCGGCAATCTTCAATTGATGCAGCATCTGCCAGTCTATCAGCTCTTTCATTACCAACGATGCCTACATGCCCTGGGACAAATATGAAAGTAACTGCACACACAGGAGAATTTTGCAATGACTCAAACCACTGTCTGCGTAACCAGCCTGCCTTGACCCGCCGGATCATTCTCAAAGAATCACTCAGCACACACACGTGATTCTAGCCACATGAAAGCCTAGGTCACCGCCATCACCTCCATCGTCATGCTACTGGTGGTCATGGAGAAGGCGCCGCTGGCTTCTTTAACTGTTCTGTCTGAAGATCAAGCTGTAAATGCCCATGAGCTCTTATATCCTCGTATAATGGACCTGTCTGTAAAGATCAATACATCTGTCTCATCTGACTTGTCACTGATAAGCGGGCATACCTTGGCATTGACATCAACTGGATTCTGCTCCTGACAACTTCTATCGAGTGTTACAACACAGGAGAATGTTAGATTGGCCGCTTTAGATGCTGGCATCCATTCCTCACTAGATGGATATCTGTAAGACTGCAAACCTGCATGATGTCATCCTCTGCCCTACCCAGCCATGACTTGCCCTTTTTAGACCTATTGCCCTTTTTCTTCAAGAGCGTGTGGTGCAAAGGGTGCTTCAGATCTGAGCTTATCTTGAGGTATGCACAAGCCCTCCAGATCTTGATCGTGTAGTTCATGGTAGGGAAGGCAAGAAGGTATCTTATTGCTACACTGGTGTCTCCATGCATCCCAGAATAATTCGCATTGCCCCGTTTTGCACCTTCTCAAGTCTTTCAATCTGAATATGGCTGATAGTGAGGATGGCTAGAGCATATTCGATGGGAGAAAGTACAAGTCCCTGGAACAGAAGCAGAAGCAGTCTCTGCTCAGTGTTAGCGGCAGCCAGGACACTCAATGCTGACAGGCCTTTGGGTGCTTTTGTTATAACATGATCAACATTTTCTTTGAAGGACAGGCTTACGATCAGACCTCACTCCGAAGTATGTCATCAGATTTGTTTTCGTCAAAATTTCCTCGCTGCTGGTAAGTCTGCCTTCACATTATGCATGTTCAAGGAGAAACATGTTACTGAGTCCTTCATAGGGTTGAAATGAGCATAAGAATCTCCACACTAGGAGGAGATGTGATCAGTCAGTGATACAGCAGTTGGTTGTTTGTTGACTGTACTGTACATGTACTTAGTGATACTGCAGTTGGTTGTTTGTTTGTTGACTACTGTACATAGTCAGGGATATAGCTGTTGGTTGTTTGTTGACAGTACTGTACATGTACTTAGTCAGTGATACAGCAGTTGGTTGTTTGTTGACTGCCCTGTACAGGTACTTGGTCAGTGATATAGCAGTTGGTTATTTGTTGACAGTACTGTACAGGTACTTGATCAGTGATATAGCAGTTGGTTGTTCGTTGACTGCCCTGTACAGATACTTAGTCAGTGATACAGCAGTTGGTTGTTTGTTGACTGCCCTGTACAGGTACTTAGTCAGTGATATAGCAGTTGGTTGTTTGTTGACTGCCCTGTACAAGTACTTGGTCAGTGATATAGCAGTTGGTTGTTAGTTGACTGTACTGTACATGCACTTAGTCAGTGATACAGAAGTTGGTTGTTTGTTCACTGTACTGTACATGCACTTAGTGATATAGCAGTTGGTTGTTTGTTGACTGTACTGTACATGTACTTAGTCAGTGATACAGAAGTTGGTTGTTTGTTGACTGTACTGTGCATGCACTTAATTAGTGATATAGCAGTTGGTTGTTTGTTGACTGTCCTGTACAGGTACTTAGTCAGTGATATAGCAGTTGGTTGTTTGTTGACAGTACTGTACATGTACTTAGTGATACAGAAGTTGGTTATTTGTTGACTGTACTATACATGTACTTACACAGTGATACAGAAGTTGGTTGTTTGTTGGCTGTACTTTACATATACTTAGTCGGTTATACAAAAGTTGGTTGCTTGTTCACTGAACTGTATATATAATTAGTCAGTTATACAGAAATGTGTGTGTAACTTACAATGTGTAATACATTTTCTAATTTTCTCTAATTTGTTAATCCATCTTTGTCTGTCTGTGGTTTGTCTTTTCCTCAGTAGTTACCCCCACCCCCACCCACTCCACTATAGTTTCCTAATGTTCATCCACACTCTTATTAGATCTGTGTTCTTCAAACTTTTTTTTAACACTTGCTGATGGGAAAAATGGGGGGAAATATTTGCAGCCCATCTGACATTTTATTCAGAAACAATTACTAATGTAGATAGCATTTTACTTATTAAATGATGTCTTTCAAAATTATGTATATTTTTTTTTAATGATTCTACATATTTTGCTGAATAGAGGTTAGAAGATTTGGTATATGTGGCTGGAGGATTGTTTCTGAGAGATAAAGTGCTGCTGCATTAACGCCCATTCAGTTTCTTTATATGGTTTCCATTGTAGTGGCTACATGATTTGGTAGAACATAGGAAATTCATGCGGACTGGTACCAGTATGTGCACCATAAGTTGAAGAAGGGGGTCCTGACTGATAAAATATTTTACTTTCAGCTACGCGTTTTTCCATGCCAACAGAAAAGCATTTAGTAATGTCAAGGCTTCTACTGCAAAAGTATGGACTCCAAGCATCCACAATGAAAGTCTTCCAGCAATCCGGCCCAACAAAGTGAGTTGAGCCATCATTAACTCTTTGTGTCAGAAGCATGTTGGCAAACATTTGAGTTCCTTGTATCAGCCAGATTCAATCAGACAACACCTTTCTCATCCTCCTTCTGTTCTTAAACTGTGCTGCCACTGCTGCAGTAAATGTTTGTCTCTCCTTCTTCAGCTGCTTCTCCTCACATTCCTTTTCTCTACTTCCTTCTTTACCTCATCTTTCTGCCACCTCTCCAAAGAATAACAGTAATGGATCTCTGACAGCTCTGTCGCTAGCCATGATGAAAATGTTTAACCTCTGTTTGCCATTCAGTCCTTTGTTGTTCTCTTCCCATCTGTACCAATATCTGCCTCACTGCCAACCTAATGATCTGTGCTTGAATCTCACTTGGGGTATCAGTTTGTTTAATTGACCTGGAATTCTCAGGTTAACCCAACCAAGAAATAAGGTACAAGAAATATTCTTGGTAGTACATGTGGCAATGTCACCTTGACCACAGCCACTGAGTTCTGATTGATCTTAAAAGATAATCTAACTTCATATACCCAATATAGACACATTTGTCTTCCACTTTCTTCTGAATCAGAGTTTTCAGCATGCCAGATTGTCTGGCTATCATCCGCAGATTGTTGTATTTTTCCTGCCTTGGTATGACTGAGTAATTCTAGTTTCAGTACTCATTTGTCTACAACATTTTTGTGATATTACCTTTCCATTGTGTTCATCTAAATGCAATTCTTTTCTTTTTCTCTTGTTGTTGACATCATGAACTTATTGTTCCAACTGCTTCCTTATGGTTCCTAACTCTGCACTCTATTCAGAAACTAAGGGGTTAGTGGCAGGAGTTTGTACTCAACAGATCTCTCTGATGTAATCTCATGATGTCAAGTATTTATGATAACCTATTACTTTTTTATTACTGTGGCCATGGAATTATCTTCACCTTTTAAATGTTACAAGGTATCAACTAAGTTTCATACTTACACTGAAAGTAGTAGTAGTTCTAATTTTAAAAAAAACAATATCCTCTTCAGTCCATCTAGGTTATAACTGTGATGTAGTTTTTTTTCTGTTTCAATATTGAATATTCATGTTTGTTGATTACTAGCAGATACAGCCATGAAATTGCAACAACATCTAACATCCATGAATGAAGAATGTAAAACAAATAATATGAGAATCAACACTGAAAAGACAGAAGTAATGTCAATAGGAAAAAAGAAGACAGATCTAAACATAGCAATAGAATACAAAGGCATTAAACAGGCATCTAAATTTTAAATATCTGGGAACTACATTTACCGAAGATGGGAAATTGGATAAAGAAATTGACATTAGTGCTACCAGTGCCAGACATGGTCACTCACAACAAACCATAAAAGAAAATTAGTAACCACGGAAATGAGATGTCTGAGAAGGGCTGTAGGAGTGGCCATAAGAGATAAGATCAGGAATGAGATCATAGGAGAACAAGTCGGCACAGAACCAATTCTGGATTACATACAAAGACAGCAAGTGAAATGGTTTGCCCACTTAGAGAGAATGCCTTGTGACACCATACCATACAAAGCATACATGGAAAGAGAAGAAGGACGTAGAGCACGGGGTAGACCAAGAACAAGATGGAAGGATAACATCAGAGAAACTCTACAACAGCACGATGTGCCTATGGTCGAGGCAGCCAGAAGAGCTAGAAACAGAACCTTATATCTCCCTCGACACCCACAGCGGTAAAAGAGGAAGTGAAGAAGAAGAAGAAGAAGTTGATTACTTGTTTTTCTTTAATATTATATAGATTATATAATAATTGTATCATATTAGATGAGAATAGATTGTTAAGTTTAATATATTTTATAGTATAGATTGTTAAGTTTAATTTATTTTGTAACTGAAATCTTGAGTTACAGTTAGTTGCATATCTTTTACAGGACATTACAGAACTAACACCAGCAATTTTTGGTGGTTGTGGTTTTTCTAGGCAAATTTACGACCAGTAGTTTGCCATTGCTTTCTGGATGGCCGGCTTCTCAATACCACTGTCGAAACCAGTGCAAGGCCCGCAGCTGGTATCGAACCCGGCACCCGGCATTGCAAAGTGCGTTCGCAACGCTTAAGCTGCAGACACTGACACTCTTAATTGTACTTTTAAAATAATTTTGATAATCCTATTGTTGAATCCATCTTTGAGAATATTTAATGTGATCTGGATACAATTATTCTGTCTTGTGATGTATTAGCACTCATGTGCAAACCTTTTTGTTTCTGGTGATTATCCTACTTACTGAAGGCACATGTCTAGGGTGACCACAATGTCTTGAGCTAAAAACAGGATATCCCACTACTATTTTGAGCTGCGAAATGGGACACCCCCTTTCTGCTTTAAGCTGAAAAATGGGACTCCCTAAACAAGTTAGTTTAACTTCATTCCCCTCCCCCCACCCCCCCCCCCCTTTTTCACTTTAAAAAAATAATTTCAGGTCACACACAGGCGACAAGATTAATTACTCGCTAGGCAATAGTGCTATTAAATTCAAACCATTGTCGCCAAGAAATTAGGGAAAAAATACTTTTCAACTGCGCTGATAAAAAAAAAAAAAAATTTCAGTGAAAATTAACATCAACACATTACAAGCCCTTGACTCTCAAGTCGACCCAGCTTTGAGTGGGTACCGGGTGCAGACCCAGGAAGTAAAGGCAGCCGGCATGATGCTGACCACATCACCCATCTTATGCTGATTCTTATTCTTCTCTTCCACCTTGTACCTCATCAAAGTGTCGGGGGGAGATGTAATGTTCGTTGATGAGCTCTGTCAAGAGCACTATTATGACTGATGTTCATTTCTGTAAGGCTGTTCTTAATGCCATCACTCCATATTTTCCGAGGTCTTCCACTCGCTCTATACCTGTTGTAACGTTTAAGTGTGGCTCGCTGTGGCGGATAGTACCAGGGCATTCTTGTTGGTTGTCCAAACCACTTCATTTGTTGTTCTTTGATGACCGGTAAGACTGGCTTTATTCCTAGCATTCGTCTGATTTCATGATTTCGTATTCTGTCTTTACTTGAAACTCCTGCAGCTCTTCTAAGGCATTTCATCTCTGTTGTCACAATAGTATGTTCATTGGAGGATGTGAGTGTCAACATTTGGCATTGATAGCATAGTGTTGGCCAAAAAATAGTTCTGATAAGATTCAGTTTAGTACTCTGAGGTATCTGCTTGTGTGTCAACAGGGGAGATAGTTGCCCCATTACTTGATTAGCTTTGGCACACCTGGAGTTAATTTCTCTGTCCAGTTTTCCATCGGATGTGAAAATTGCTCCTAAATACTTAAATTCCTCTGTTTGTCTCAGGGTGTTGTTTTTTAATTTAATTTCTAAATTGTCTTTATGTCTTCCTTTCATCATTGTCTCTGTCTTCGTAGTGTTTATTTTCATATTATATTCCTCCCCTTTGTTACTAATTTGATTTTGGTGATTCTGTAGGCATTCCGTATTTTCTGCTATGAGTACCTGGTCGTCGGCAAACAGTTATAAAAAGAAGCGGTGATAGTACACAGCCCTAACGCACCCCAGAGTTCACTATAAAACTTTTTGACAACCCTGTCTTCGATCTTACCTTTTGCAGCATTTACTACGTGTGTACAAGCTTTTGAAAATATTAATGAGATTATTGCTGATTCCCTTTTTTCCCATACATTCCCACAACATATTCCTGTCGACTCTATCAAAGGCTTTTTCTTGGTCTATAAATGTCAACAAACATGTCTTATCATGTTCTATTGCCCTCTCTGATAGTTGTCTCAATGTATAAATGGCATCTGTGCAACTTCTGTTTTGTCGAAAGCCCATCTGTGCTTCTGAAAAATGTGCTTCTTATGCTGATTGGTGTATAAAAATTTAGCTCATGCCCTATATTCCTAAAGGCATGGAAGAGGGACCTTAACGTACTTTACTTACATTACAAGCATTCAAAGTGTTAAAACTAGGAAATCTAATAAGGCCGCCAGAAATCACTGTAAGTGCATGTCATTTTCTGCAGCTATTTCCCAGATATGTTTAAAATGGGGGATCTGTAGCTTTTTGTTTTTTTAAACTACTGACAGGATGGCTGAAGCACACCTAAAATGTGGGACTGCTGGTAAAATTGGGACATATGGTCGCCCTATAGATGACCCAGTTTGTCCCAGTTATTACCTAGCAGCTTGCCTATAGATAACCCAGTTTGTCCCAGTTGTTACCTAGCAGCTTGCCTATAGATGTCCCAGTTTGTCCCAGTTATTACCTAGCGGCTTGCCTATAGATAACCCAGTTTTTCCCAGTTGTTACCTAGCAGCTTGCCTATAGATGACCCAGTTTGTCCCAGTTATTACCCAGCAGCTTGCCTATAGATGACCCAGTTTGTCCCAGTTGTTACCCAGCAGCTTGCCTATAGATGACCCAGTTTGTCCCAGTTGTTACCCAGCAGCTTGCCTATAGATGGCCCAGTTTGTCCCAGTTATTACCCAGCAGCTTGCCTATAGATAACCCAGTTTGTCCCAGTTATTGCCTAGCAGCTTGCCTATAGATGACCCAGTTTGTCCCAGTTATTACCCAGCAGCTTGCCTATAGATGACCCAGTTTGTCCCAGTTATTACCTAGCAGCTTGCCTATAGATGACCCAGTTTGTCCCAGTTATTCCCCGTTTTACCTACTCGCAGCTTGCCTATAGATAACCCAGTTTTGTCCGTCACAGTTATTACCTAGCAGCTTGCCTATAGATGACCCAGTTTGTCCCAGTTATTGCCTAGCAGCTTGCCTATAGATGGCCCAGTTTGTCCCAGTTATTACCCAGCAGCTTGCCTATAGATGGCTCAGTTTGTCCCAGTTGTTACCCAGCAGCTTGCCTATAGATGACCCAGTTTGTCCTAGTTGTTACCCAGCAGCTGCCTATAGATGGATGACCCAGTTTTTGTCCAGTTTATTACCCAGGCAGCTTTGCCTATAGATGACCCAGTTCTTGTCCCAGTTATTACCCAGCAGCTTGCTATAGATGGACCAGTTTGTCCCAGTTATTACCCAGCAGCTTGCCTATAGATGACCCAGTTTGTCCTAGTTGTTACCCAGCAGCTTGCCTATAGATGACCCAGTTTGTCCTAGTTGTTACCTAGCAGCTTGCCTATAGATGACCCAGTTTGTCCCAGTTATTACCCAGCAGCTTGCCTATAGATGACCCAGTTTGTCCCAGTTGTTACCCAGCAGCTTGCCTATAGATGACCCAGTTTGTCCTAGTTGTTACCTAGCAGCTTGCCTATAGATGACCCAGTTTGTTCACAGTTATTACCCAGCAGCTTGCCTATAGATGACCCAGTTTGTCCCAGTTGTTACCCAGCAGCTTACCTATAGATGACCCAGTTTGTCCCAGTTATTACCCAGCAGCTTGCCTATAGATGACCCAGTTTGTCCCAGTTATTACCCAGCAGCTTGCCTATAGATGACCCAGTTTGTCCCAGTTATTACCCAGCAGCTTGCCTATAGATGACCCAGTTTGTCCTAGTTGTTACCCAGCAGAATGCCTTTAGATGACCCAGTTTGTCCCAGTTATTACCCAGCAGCTTGCCTATAGATGACCCAGTTTGTCCCAGTTATTACCCAGCAGCTTGCCTATAGATGACCCAGTTTGTCCCAGTTATTACCTAGCAGCTTGCCTATAGATGACCCAGTTTGTCCTAGTTGTTACCCAGCAGCTTGCCTATAGATGACCCAGTTTGTCCCAGTTGTTACCCAGCAGCTTGCCTATAGATGTCCCAGTTGTTACCCAGCAGACTTGAATAGGATACGATTAGTTAACAAATAAACACAGGCTGGCACAGTTTTCTACATGTTTTTGTTGAACTTTTTCAGATCTGGAACTCCCATAATTTGTTTGACAGTGCAGAAAGTGCTGAACATTTTGAAGGCGTCCTTGACACATCTTTTATGCTAGCCTATGCTCTGGTAAGCTTTGACTCAATTTTACCATCATAAAATGACCTGCCGTTTATTTTTAATAAATAAATTTGGAAATAAAATATTTTGTACATTTTAAATTCACCTGGCTAGTTTGTTTAATAAATGTTTACACAAACAAGTTGTTACTTGCGGTCCTTGTATCTGTATCAAGAGTCGTGACTGTTAATGTCCACACAGGCAAGTCAGCAATACTAGAAGCTTCAGGAGATCCTATAATAATAGCAGAAGTGAAACAGAAAACAACAAGAGAATAGAAAATGGCTAAATATACATTAAAGTTTATGAAGATAACTACAGCTAAATAGATTAGTAACAAGTTTTACATGAAATATCAGTATATATATTATGTTAATTTTTGTGTGTTGTATATTGTTTCTTGTCGTTTTTTCTTTTGATGAAGGCTAAAGTGTCCGAAACATGTATTATTTGTCTGTGGCAACTGGACATGTAGGCTGAAATGTACATAATGCTATTCAATTTTCTCTAGGCTTTTATAGATTTACTGCAGTCAGCTTTTTTAAAATAATAGTATTATATAATATTATTCATTTCTGTCCTTGTTTTGCAGGGCCTGTATCTTAATGGCTATGTTGGAGACCGGTAACTATTATCACAGTGAATTTTAGATTGTGTCTTCCATTCATACAGACTCTGTCACAAGATTTCACATTGAGTCTTCCATCCATACAGATGTCACAAGATATCCCATTGTGTCTTCCATTCATACAAACTCTGTCACAAGATTTCACATTGAGTCTTCCATCCATACAGATGTCACAAGATATCCCATTGTGTCTTCCATTCATACAAACGATGTCACAAGATTTCACATTGAGTCTTCCATTCATACAAACTCTGTCACAAGATTTTACATTGTGTCTTCCATCCATACAAACATTGTCACAAGATTTCACATTGTGTCTTCCATCCATACAAACTCTGTCACAAGAATTCACATTGAGTCTTCCATCCATACAGATGTCACAAGATATCCCATTGTGTCTTCCATTAATACAAACTCTGTCACAAGATTTCACATTGTGTCTTCCATCCATACAAACATTGTCACAAGATTTCACATAGAGTCTTCCATTCATACAAACTTTGTCACAAGATTTCACATTGTGTCTTTCATCCATACAGATGTCACAAAATTTCACATTGTGTCTTTCATCCATACAGATGTCACAAGATATCACATTGTGTCTTTTATTCATAGAAACTCTGTCACAAGATTTCACATTATGTCTTCCATCCATACAGACTGTCACAAGACATCACTTTGTGTCTTCTATTCATACAGATTCTGTCATAAGAAATCACACTGTGTCTTCTGTTCATACAGACTCTGTCACATGATTTCACATTGTGTCTTCTTGGCTGGCTTTACTTCGCAAGACTTTACAGGTTGCCCATTTCAGGCTGGGTCAACCTGGAGTCAAGATTTTTTTTTAAACAAATTAAATTTTATGAGGATTCAAATCTGCTTTATTGCAAAACGAATTCTTTTCTGTGTAATGTTTTCAGTTTCATTTAGACATAATCAATCAAATCAGTGCCATCTCCACGCTGAAGGTTGCCTGCAACAAGTTTTCCATTAATTTCTATGTCTTGCTCTGGTTTGATCCACCCTAAAACAGATAACCAGCCTCAAATCTAGAATAGGTACCAGAACTAAAAAAAAGGATTCCTTTCTAATGAATACATTAAACAAAACAAAAACAGGACCCTTTTCCGTGATTTCAGGTATACTGAGGATTTAGGACTGGACCTATATTTTATAGACCAATCGGCACTCGGTGGCTGATGAACACCACTAAGGTCATTGTTTAAAAAAAAAAAAAGTTCTACTTCCACCAGGCACCTAAATCCAGGACCTTCCCTATCCTCACGGTTCACACTATCTAACCACTACACCACAGTGGGCTCCAGTCATTTACCTTGACCTGCCGTGGCAAAAAAAAGGCTTCCCGTCAATACCTGACCCAGTGCCCCCAAAAAAAGTGTGATGTGTGAAAAACATATTCTGAGGATAAATAGCTGAAGCACTAACTGCCTGAAATGATTAACGCCGTTACACCACAAACAACACAAATTTGCATGAATGATTAAACAGTACATCACAAACAACACAAGTTTGCATGAAGGTTAAACAACACATCACAGACACAACACACGTTTGCATTCAATGATTCCACAGTACGCATCACAAACAACACAAGTTTGTATGAATGATTAAGCAGTACAATCACCAAACAAGTTTGCATGACTGATTAAAACGTACTACTGGCCAAACATACACAAGTTTGCTGAATGATTATTTTTAACAGCTACATCACAAAACAACACAAGTTTGCATACAATACTTGAGCAGTACATCACAAACAACACTAAGTTTTGCCATGAATGATTTAACCACAGGACACACAATAACAAAACATTTTTACATGAATGATTGAACGAGTACCATCACGTAAAAAACAACACAAGTTTGCCATGAAGTGATTAAGCAGTACATTCACAAACACCGATCACGTTGTTGCAATTTATGAATTAAGCCTGTCCATCACAAACAACACCAAGTTTGCTAGAATATATGATTAAGCAGTACATCACCAACAACCAACGTTTGCAATGAATGATTACACCTTACCTCACAACACACCAAGTTTGTCCATGCAATGATTTAACAGCACATCACAAACAAACCAACACAAGTTTGCATGACTGATTACAAGCAGTACATCACAAACAACCCAGTTTGCCTGAATCACATTAAACAGCACAATCACAAACAACCACAAGTTTGCATTACTTGATTAGGCAGTACTCCAATACAACACAAGTTTGCATGAATGATTACGCCAAGTACATCACAGACAAGTTTCCCTGAATGAGTTAGGCAGTACATCACAACACACCCAGAGTTGCACTGAATGATTAAGGCAGAATACATCACAAACATAGTTTTGCATGCAATGATTACCACATACTTATCACAAAACAATACAATTTTTCATGAATGATTGACACGCAGCACATCCACAAACACCACAATTTTGCATTGAATGATCAAGCCGTACATCACAAACAACACCAAAGTTTGCATGAATAAATTTAAGCAGTAAATCACGGAACAAAACCCAGTTTGCATGAAGGATTAAACAGGACCCCCCCCCCCCACATGACACCCCCCACAACCAAAGTTTGCATGAATGATTAAACAGTAGATTGAAACACACAGGTCTGCATGACTTATTACACAGTAGATCACAAACCAAATTTGCCTCTAAGGTCGGTAATTATGTCGTTTGAGACCGACCGCCACGCTGACCACCGGAGCCTTTTGCCACCAGCCCTAGTCGCGTCATGCAAGTGAGGGTGTCGCACCACCAGCGGGACGCGAGGGGTAGGCGGAGGGGCCACTGCTCGCGCGCTCGCCACTGCCTGAGCTATCACCGCGACGCGTACAAAAGTCCCACGCGCTTTGCTATCCTCAGCACGAGCACGGGCAAGACGATCCAGCATGCACGCGACGTGTGGTATGACCCCGCCGCGCCGTCCGCCACGCCTTGCGCCGCACGCCCCCCGCACACTGTGTGTGCCCCCTTGGCACGATGCGTAAGGGCAGCCGGCGCACCCTCCGACGATTGTGAGGCCCGGCCCTGCGCCCCCCCAGCGTTCGCGCACTGACCTGTGCTCCCCGGACCTGCCGTGCCGGGTCGCGGACCGGGACCCACGCGCCCCCGTGTGCTGCCGACGCCGTCCTTCCCACCAGTTTGGCACGAATTCCCATACTTCGAGGTTCCCGCCGGGCCGCTCCATGGCCTCTGTGCGGACGGAAAATGAGGGCGTGGCGCGTCGGTCTGCAGGGAGCGTGCCTCCGACGAGCCGTGTTGCGCCGTGCATTCGTGGCATGGTCAGGTCTGGACTGCTGCTTATTGGGGTACGACAAGGAGGACCGCGGACGCTTCCCCCTCACATGTTCGCCAGAGCCTACCACACCCCTTTCGCATCTCGCTGCAGCGTGCTCCCCCTAGCGGGACCGACCGTCTGAGGGGCACTACATGCGTGTCGAGAGCAGCCCAGCGCCTTGTAGCGCTATCGTGTCACGCAACGACCAAGCGCTCGTCCGGTCCTTGCTGACATACTCATTGCTCTTAGCGCTCCTTGCACTACGTGCACACATCATGGATCCTTCGGCCCTGCGGTAGATGGTTAGTGTTTGGCTGATTCTTGCCTCGCGCAGCATCACCCTTCGTCTCGCGGGGACTCCGTAGGGGCCACGCCCCCGTCCGGCGCCGCGCCAGGTCGCTGCCACGGTATGTGGAACCGCGCCGCAGGATACGGGTCACCGCAATCGTTTGGCATATCAGACTGCCGTGCACACGCCCCGCACATGTGGAGGGAGGGCCCTCCCTCGGGCCAAGAAATATGGGCTATTATAATTATGGTCTCCCCCTCCCCTCGCTGGCACAGCCCATCAGGAGTTTATGTCTGGGATGTCTTAATAGGATGGTGGACCAGAATTGGGTATATAGCAGTGCACTTGTGCCTTTCTGGTCAGCCCGATCTGGTTCTATCTTACCTCTGTCAGTATGCCTTACGACAATTAGATCCTATTCAAATGCAAATAAACACATTCAAAATGTATTTGGATACTTGAAACAACGTATGAAGCTGCAGTCTTTGATTGTGTACGTTAATGAGATGATCTCTTTAGTAAAACGTATGGAGAGTCAAGGCGACCTGATTGGCACACATTACGTAGATGTGATATAGGGATATCAGGGGGTGAGACTTATTTTTTTATGGGACCAATTCGCAACAAGCAGGGTATGGATGGTGCGAGCCCCAGTCATGCGCAACGCGCGCGACCCCCGCTCTCACGGTTCACAGATCTGTGCACAGCATTACATTCAAGAGAGCATTATTAACATGACACTGCAAATTACATATTGGAGTACGACCAAGATTTCGTGTATAGTCGCCAATCTATAATCGCCAGCATGCGGCGCCATTCCAGGTAACCCAGATAACGCAAATTGCATTTATATCTTAAGACACGGATAATTTACTGGGAAGAGTATGTAAACAGGTGTCACAGCATGCATACAAGTCATTCATCATTCACCGACGGGATTCAATTTTGTCCTTAAACATTTGGTACTAGCACAAAGGAAGTCAGAGTCCTTGATTCATGAGGAAATAGATTACCTTTTGGTTGTAGCTTCTGAACTATTTAACACTTACGATTGATAGATTGATAGTTTCTGCGAACATATTTCATATTTACGGAATGGAATGTTTGTCTGCAGAGTAAAGTATATGAGAAAGTTCTCTTTGACCTCGGAATGGCTGGTTGTTCGGTAGAAGTGGTGAGATACAAGTGTCATAAATGTTCATTTCATTTCTTGATTGTCTGATTTGTTTTGGTTGCTTGTTATTGTGAGCGATTTCTAAGACGCAGTTATGAAAACTGGAACAGCCAATAGGCGAAAAATAGATGGATGATTGGGACTAATGATATACATATGACAGTAAGACGCGCACCCGATAGGTGGCTATCATAAGTTCGGCATCAGACTAGGCGGAACCTCATTCAGAAGCCTGCTGCTGACAGGATGGGAGATGGACCAGCATTATGAGAGTGTCGACCTGTGGCCACAGGCCTGTGACCATCGTCGCGAGTCGTATGAGCTGTATTAATTGTCAAGGGGCAATTGTCAAACATTTAGACTAACTGAAAAGCAGATGTTTCTCTTTTTGGTTGAATGGTAAAATAAGTTAGAAACTACCACAAAACACCACATTTACTTGGGCGCTGGACATTAAGTTTATTATGGTCGTCCGCGAGAGGGGCCAACCACATACAGGGCATGTAGGCACGAATACTCAAAGCGTGAGGCACAAAATATGCACCGGCCTCCCTGAATTGAAGAACTGCAACGCACAACTCACATCGCTCATTGGTTTATCTCAGTTTCGATAGCTGAACCTGCAGGTTGTAGCTTGTTAGTACTTCCGAATAACCACATTTTCAAAGCTGTCTTTATGTTTGTGCAGCAAAAACATCACTCTTGATGTTGTGAGCACTCTGGCTATTATGCTTTGGCACTTAATAACAATCGGGCTCACTTAATTGTCTTTCTTCTTTTTTGGGGTGGGCTGGTAAACCTATAAGCTAGACAGCTAGGGGCAGAGGTTGTAGTTCGTCTAGTTTCCACGACTAGGAGCTGCAATTATCGTACACCTTTTTGGCCCCACAGGCGCAATTTGATTCAATAGCTAAATTCTTGTTAACTTAGTAGCGCTCAGTGCCAAAGTGTTCGCCTGCGGGTGCGAGCACGAGGGCCGCGGGTTGGCGGGGGGGGGGGGGGGCAGGTTGGGCAGTTGTCCCAAACGCAGTTGAATGGTCAAAATGATTCTGGCGCGGACCCGTCCCTGAAAAGATTTTTACACGAAGAAGACCAAACTGGCTTGTAGGGAGGAGGGGTTGGTGCGCAGCCTCTATTTGTTCTATGGAGGGGGGAGACGGGGCGGTGGTGGGGCCTGAAACCAACAGGATTACCATGTATTTTTCCCAGATTCGCGCTTCGTTGTAAGGGAAGTTAGCAATTGTAGATCTACTGGACCGAGCAAATGTAGAAATGAAAAACCGCCACTTGTGAACACCCATGAACGGCTAAAGATGTGATGCCGAGGTTAAGAACTGAAACATGGTTCTTTAACAGCACTAAAGCGCAACTACCATGGACTAGGGAAGGCACCGATGTCATCTTACGTTGTTTGCTGCTAGGGGGGTAGGTTATTGAGTCAAACAAGTTTTGGTAACCTTATGCTTTCATGCCTAAAACCTAACTAGTGACCATCATCACTTGTTTGCAGGAGGCTAGGATATTGCCTAACTTAGTTATATTACATTGTTGAGACGTACTAGAAATTTTGTAGAAGAGAGAAAAGAAATACCTACTAGAAGGAGAGGAGCCAGTCACATGGAGCCTTGAAGACAGACACTAGAGAGTAGACATGAAACGAGACAGCAAACTACAGAGACGACGTACAAGAGTCATGGATCCATGGTTAACAGAGACACATTAGGGAGGAACACTATTGAGATGTTAGAGTCAATGATCAAGCCGTTAGTACCAAACAGCACTAGAAGCCAGGTGGCATTTATAGACACTGGAATCAGTTAACAAAGTAACTAGAGATGAAAAACACAATGCTCCCTTAAGAGTATATAGCCATAGGGAGAACACAACACCATTCATAATATCATTGATGTTGTTTGAGACATTGCTGAGGTATCATAATAAAGACAGTATAGACAAGAACAATTGTTTCCATACATTTTATTTTACAAGCATCAGAGCCATGTGAGAAGCATGCTTCTAGCAAGACATTATCATCATCATCATCATCATCACCACCACTATCGACACGACCAACTTTATCCTCATCTGTCCCTTTCCAAATCGACTCCTCCTGTAGCAAAACTAAAGACAAACCTGAGTGTGACATCGACGTACGCAAAGAACAGAGCTGTGCTACAATTCATTGCTCATAAACTATAAACATTTACAATGACATATGACTCATTAACAAAACTGATGTGATCATTCCAGTAAAGGAGTTTATTTTTACTGTCTATGCTCATGGGGACCCATTCCTATCTCCAACCTATTTGCTTGAATTTGAATTATAAACAAAACTTCATCATTTAAAATCTGTAATATTTCTATTGCAGGTGTTTATTTTTGGCTGTGTTTGTGAGTGGGCCGAGTACTACAATGAATACTTTTATGTCTTCATCTGGGTCATCAATGGCCTGCTTCAGTCGACCGGCTGGCCAGTGGTTGTTGCCTGTATGGGCAACTGGTTCGGACAGAGCAGGTCTGTAGACACTTGAATCTATTCTCCGCTACCATCTAGTGGCTATTTCTTGTTTTCTTCTGTTTGTTAAAAAAAAACAAAAGGACTCTTTTTGCTCTATTAGCATTTTGCCCCCCAGCTAGATAAAAGTAAGTAAAGTAAAGTTCCCTTTTCACGCCTTTCGGCGCATCGGGCATATGGGCAGAGCGTCCCATATTTTTACAGATCATCAGCACTCTGTGGGTAATGTGGTCAGCATTACGCCGGCTGTCTTTACTTTCCCAGGACAGCCCATCCTGGTACCCATTTTAGGCTGGGTCGACCTGCAACGATCCATACCACGACAAAGATCCAAGCAGCCTGCAGTGAGTTCCGATCGCGGTATGCTGGCTTACGAGTCGGACTCGCAACGCCTTAGCCACGGACGCCGCCCCCAGCTAGATAGTTAGCTGGAATTCTTTTTTCAGCTAGTTAGCTAGCCTTCTTTATTCAACTAGCTATCTAGTTAGCTAGCATTTTTCCCCCCAGCTAGCTAGCTGGTTAGCTGGCATTCTTTATTCAACTAGCTAAGTAGTTAGCCAACATGATCTCACTGCCAGTAATTAACCTAGGGTTTTAAATAAAGTGTTCAGTCTTATTAACATAAAAGCAGAGAAAAGGAAATCAGAAAAGAATAATAATCCACAGGAATAGATCAATGTGGCCAGGCCACTCTAATGACAATAGATGGATCATGCAGTAAATAGCAAGGATTGTCCATAATGTTGCTGTGTCCCAGAAGATGGGAAATGGTACCAGCTGGAGCAGCAAGATAAAACTTATTTTGTGAATGTAGTTTTGTGCGGGAAGTGAGATTTGCTAATGTTTTGTAATCCTTTCTGATGTACTGAAGGTAATCATGGACAGAAAATCAGCTGAGTCATGAGAATTTCTCTGGAGATCACAGAGGTTTGCTTCTTAGGAAGAATACTAGAAGCATCATTGAAAGATTATACAGAGTAATGAAAACATTGGATGAACTAGCAGAAACAGTGAATGATTTCTTGTATACAATGTGCCGCCTACTCAGAAAATCCTTCATAAGCCATTGCTAACAGAATAATTACAGAAGCAAGAAGAATGTCTTGTATTCCTGTTATTTTGTTTCTATTTCATGAATAACAGTTTTTATAACATCATGTTTAGATTACTGCCCTACTTACATAGAGAAATGGGTTCAGTCTTCTTTGTAGCATTCTTTACTTGGCTAGGTGCAGATCTGTTGACCTGGCATCTGAGACATCTTGTTTGTTTAATGTGTGACCTAGTATTTACTATGCCAGTTACATTAGACTCCAGCAGTAATAATTTCTAAGATTACTCCAACTTGGTTACCCTTTATTGATGCCAGTTTAAATTATTCTGAAAAGTCAGTCTGTTTATTTTTTATTCAAAAATGTTGACAAAGTGTTATTAGGCAAGTATTTTTGTTAAATAGACAAAACATTTAGCTTTCATTGGCTATTGTTGTGTCAACCACCTTGACTACATTGGCCATTGCTGTGTCAGCTGTCCTAACTTCATTGGCCAGTGCTGTGTCAGCTGCCTTGACTTCATTGGCCAGTGCTGTGTCAGCTGCCTTGACTTCATTAACCAGTGCTGTGTCGACCATCTTGACCTCAGAAAATTCAGTACCAAGTTTATGAAGCCAGATTGCCCTGAAAATTAGACTGAAAAAATTGCACCCCTTTCACAACTAAAGACCAAGTGAATGTTGGTCAGTGAAAGCACAAACATTTACACCACAATGGCTCATGTACTGGTTTCAGTTTTCAACTGCTATATATTTTTACATTTTCAGTCGAGGCATGTTATTGGGCATATGGAGCTCTTGTGCCTCCGTGGGAAACATTATCGGCACATTCATGGCAGCATCAGTTTTGTCTTATGGATACCAGGTACCACTTTCTGTGTTCTTTATGTTGAGGTCTTCTTAACAATTAATCACGTCATGTAACTGTGCAGTTTGACAGACAAGAGTCTTGTGCAGAATTAACTGTGTCAGTCAAAGTCTTGATTAGACCAGATCCCCAGTCGTAGAATGTAGGGCTGCTACAGTGTAATGTCATCATCATCCTCCACTTTTGCCGTTAAGTGGCGTGGGCAAGAACAGTTGACAATCCATTGCTTGCTGGGATGCTATGGCTTTTTTTGTCAATGTAGAAGCCCTTAAATGTCATCAGTTCATCTTCTCCTGGGGGGATCTCTTGCTTTCATATCAGATTTTTTCATGAGTAGTTCCTGTGTTGATAATTCTGGCTGCATTCTTACTAGTTGACCACACACAGCAGGAAATTGCAGTGGATGTCTCAGTCAAATAAATCCCTCTATTGGTGTCTGATCTCAGTTACAACACAATAAACCAGAGAGGGAAAAAGGGAGGATGGGCAAACAAATGAATAAACTTCATTTTTAAAGGGTTGATAAGTAGGCTTGCAGGCCCATCTTATATTCTGCTCTTCTGACCTCAATGCTTTCATACATTGTTTCATACATTGTTTCTTACATATAAGATTTAACAAGTAATGTTGAACATCATCAACAACTACCAAATATTATAATACACATTTTAGAATGTGTATGTGTGAGTTAAAAGGAAAAGGATGAAAGAGAGGAGCTAAAGAAAGAAAAATAGAAATAAAGATAGAATGAGTCCTTTTTTCTCTCGAAAAGCCGGCATTTCCAGACGTTGATGTCATAAAGCTGTCAGCCAATTGTGTTTTATACTGAGTAGACTAGAGGAAATCATGTGTGTGATGGTATTTAATGACACACAGACAGAAAGTTTAAATTATATTTGAAGAAAAAAAAGGAAATGAGGAGGTAAGACCAACAGATAACGGCTGAATAATTTCAAGAAGTATGAACTTATCAAACTTAGGTGTCATTAAGCTAGAATTACCAAAATGTTATGGCCCACATGAAACAAACAGACAGTACATGTGTAATGTAACAATGGCTATTTTATCTACTGCTGGCATTATTTTGTTTTTCTGTTGCAACAAAAGAAACTAGACTATAGTCTATCTCACAGGTATTAAAATCTTCTTGTTTTTCCCCAGTATGCCTTTCTAATGACATCATGTGTTCTGCTTTCTGGAGCTTTTATGATCTTCTTTGGACTTGTGACATCACCAGATGATGTTGGTAAGTACTCTACTTCCCGGGACTGCACCTGGTACCCACTCAAGGCTGGGTTGACCTGGGAGCCAAGATCATTTTTTGAGAAAAGTTCGGCTCCACCAGGGAGCGAACCGACAACCTTCCGATCCATGGCGTGCGTCTAGCCGCTCTGCCACCATGACTCCCAGCTGTAATAAGAAGGCAAATATAAATGGAGGCGGCTGATAGCTGCAGCTGGGGACCTCAAGGGTTCGGAATGCTGATGAAGAATATGGACTGTGAACTTGTCACACTTGGCTAAACACATTATAAACAGATCAAACCGAGGGGGGGGGAGACTGACCCATTTGTAGCAACCTTGACCTGTAGATCACCTTAGGCTGATGTACCCAAGTGTGACCACATCCATGAGGAAGCAACTGCCATTCTCTGCAGCTGTAGCCAACATGGTGGATAATTTAATAAACTGACCAGAGAATCTAAACAATGAAATTTGAAAGAGACACTAAAAAGTGTAATTACAAAGAGAAACTAACTATTGTAATTAGAAACTGAATAGTGGAATTAAAAAGAAAAACTAACTTAGAAAGAAAAAACTAACGGTGCGATCAGAAAAAGAAACTAAATGGTGCAATAATAAAGAGAAACTAAATTGTTGAATTAGAAAGAAAAAATAAACAGTGGAATTAGGAAGAGAAACTGAACAGGGGATTAAAAAGAGAAATTAAGCAGTGGAATTAGAAAGAGAAACTAAACAGTGGTATTAGGAATCGAAACTAAACAGTGGCATTAGGAATCAAAACTAAACAGTGGAATTAGGAGGAGACACTAAACAGTGTAATTAGAAAGAGACACTGAACAGTGGAATTAGAAAGAGAAACTAAACAGTGGAATTAAAAAGAGCAAGTAAATGTTGTAATTAGACAAAGTAACTAAATAGTGAAATGAGAAAGACAAACTAAACAGTGGAATTAGAAAGTGAAACTAAATAATGGAATTAGAAAGAGCAACTGAATAGTGGAATTAGAAAGAGCAACTGAATAGTGATTTGAGAAAGATAAACTAAACAGTTGAATTAGAAAGAGAAACTTAACAGTAGAATTAGGAATAGAAACTAAACAGTAGAATTAGGAAGATAAACTAAACAGCAGAATTAGGAAAAGAAACTAAACAGTGGAATAAGGAAGAGCAACTAAACAGTAGAATTAGAAAGATAAACTAAACAGTGGAATAAGAAAGAGCAACTAAACAGTAGAAATAGGAAGAGAAACTAAACAATGGAATTAGCAGGATAAAATAAGCAGTGGAATTAGAAAGAGAAGCTAAACAGTGGAATTAGAAAGAGAAACTGAACAATGGATTAAAAAGAGAAATTAAGCAGTGGAATTATAAAGAGAAACTAAACAGTGGAATTAGGAATCGAAACTAAACAGTGGAATTAGGAATCAAAACTAAACAGTGGAATTAGGAAGAGAAACTGAACAGTGGAATTAGAAAGAGCAAGTAAATAGTTGAATTAGACAGAGAAACTAAATAGTGAAATGAGAAAGATAAACTAAACAGTGGAATTAGAAAGAGAAACTAAACAGTGGAATTAGAAAGAGAAACTAAATAGTGGAATTAGAAAAAGCAACTAAATAGTGGAATTAGAAAGAGCAACTGAATAGTGAAATGAGAAAGAGAAACTAAACAGTGGAATTAGAAAGAGAAACTGAACAGTGGATTAACTCTTTCAGGGCAGCATGTTTTCTGGTGTTTGGACAGCATTAATTTTGAGCGGAATTTTTTTACAGCAACATGACAAAGCTAAAACTGTCCTGTTGAAAAGTACTGGCTGTATAGTACCATAATACATCCAATTAAAGAGAAATGAATGCAGAATGCATGTAAACTATCTAAGGATCAGTATTGCAACAAGAACATATTAAAATAACACCATATTCGATGATGTTAGACGCACAGGAATTTTTTTTTTTGTAAGAAATATTGTGTTTACCTCACTTTTTTGCTGGATCAGAAACACTTCTTCTCATTCTTAAGAATTCACATGCCTTCTCTATTGAATTATGTATCAGCTAGCCTTTATTTGAGACAATTATCCTAAATACTTTGCATTTTATGACAATTCTTATGTGACATGTCAAATTTTAGAATAACCGAATGAAAAGGAAAATTGAATTACTGAATTTTGTAACAGCAATATGACAAAGCTAAAACCATCCTGTTGAAAAAGTACTGGCTGTATAGTACCATGTAATACATCAAATTAAAGAGAAATGAATGCAGAATGCATGTAAACTATTTACAGATCAGTATTGCAACAATAGCATACGACAGTGACACCACATTAGAGGATATTAGACACACACACAAATTTTAGACATGCAATGTTGTTCTTACCTTATTCTTTTACTTGTTCAGCAGCATAGCTATCCATTTTAAAGAATTCACATGACTTCTCCATTTCAATTATGCATCAGCTAGTCTTTCTTTGAAACAATTATACCAAATACTTTGCATTTTATCATCATTTTTGTCTGACGCGTCAAATTTCAAAACAGCCGGGGGAAAAATATTTACATAATATATAAGGGCAATTCCAGTGATGACTTAACACTATTTATCTGACAATGATGGTGATATTGATCCTGAATACAACCACCTAAAACATGCATTGGGGCACAGATGAGGCTTGTCAGCACATCTAACACAGTAAAACCTGCTGCGTTTTTGAATCTTTTTCTTGCTGCACTGTACACATTGCCTGTCTGCACCAGCATAGTCAACTAAATGGTCTGCCCCAACAAAACTGTCAGTCAAGGCTGGCCTTTTGCCTGGTCTGCGAGCCACAGCAATGATCATGTCTGTTGAAACTTCATGACCTGAGAGCGCAGTTAGTTGCTGGATGAGCTCGTCTTTGAAATGTGTGAGACTCATTCGCTTAGGGGCAGCATGATGGGATAACATGTACAAGATGTGAGCATTGACCTGCGTCACTTCCACGATCCACGTGAAAACCTTTTTCCACCACTTCTTAGTTTCGCGATTGTGGTTTCTAAATTACGAGACCATTTGATCTACACGATCACAGCCATTCATACTCATATTGTATGAGTAAATGGGGCTAGGTTTCTGAACCTTTCGACTCCCTTCCTGGCGTTCCTCAAATTTAGAACTTCCATTTGTGGTCAGTAGGATGCAAGGTTTTTGGGATTTTTTATCCCTCCAGGAAACGCAAAGGATATTCTGCTCATTATTAACTAACCATCTCGAGGTTCCAAAGATGGTTGGTTGTTGCTTTAGCTGCTGCGGCAATCCTTTGCGGTTTGTATTCACTGTGCCAGTATAATTCAATTTCCTGGATAAAAGAAATTGTATGAGAGGGAGTGATGTATAAAATCTATCTGTAAATAGATGATGGTAACTTGCAACACCCTGCAGTAGGGTTGAGAATACTTTTACAGCATGAGTTGATGTTGGATCAAGCTCTGGATTGTAGGCAGTTTTTGTTCCAAAGTAAATTAGCAGATTAAAAACATAGCCTGTGATTGAATCACAAAGACCAAATGTCTTTATATGATACTTATGAGGCTTGGCTGCATTGTACTGTTTAGCATGAAACCTGCCTTTGAAACCAATCACCATCTCAACAGAAAGCTTTTCATATGGGTAAAATGCTGGCTGAAACTTTGCTACTAGATTATTCATAAATGGCTCAATCTTTGCTTGGCCTTGTGCGTTGGGTTCTGATGCATGCAGCATTGACTGGTAAACAAGCAAGAACATAGTTCTTGGAAACATTACCTTGAACCATGGTGTGAATTTGTGGTTTGCTGTAGACCAGTAATCATTGATGTAATGTTTTGGTTTATTTCCCATTGCTATCACTACACTGAGAAACTGAAAAAAATTTCTCTAGTCATTGGCTGCCACTCAGACAATGTATATCTTTTTCTCAGCGGTACATTTTTCTTTATTTTTTCCACTGCATAAAGATTTATGTTTTCAACAAGGCTGTCAATGATATCAGCTGTCAGCAGTGTCAATAAGCAATCCAGGGGTGTTGAATTTTCATCCAGTGGTGCCTGAATTCCAGACTAAGCTGAACAAAACAGGGATGATCTGATCAAAACATTTTCTTCAGCTTCATCCCAAGCCATAACGTCTGCAACAGATACTGTACATGCATTATCATTATCAATATTTATAAGGCAACACTATTGTTGTCACTATCTGGCTCAGATTCATCAACGACAGCAGCAGTATGGGCAGTTCTGTAGGCTTTGTTATTGTTCTGCTTTCCCTTACCCTTATAATTTAGTCTGGCGTGTTTTGCAGCAGATGGCTGATATTCTTGATCGTCATCATCTACATCATTGTCAGATAATTCTGAATCTAAGTTATCATCACTACTAGAATTATCTTCCTTATCTAACAACTGCTGCATAAGATCTAAATCTTGCGTTTTTATCATTCTTTGAGCTCTATCTGCAGTGGATGTTGAAGGGTTGAAAGCTGCCATTTCAGAAAAATCACACAACAAAATTATATCACACAGAATAAATCTAAAACAAATCACAAAGTAGTACACCGACCATGCTAAACTTCGCACTCAAAAAAAATTCCTGTTGTTAATACTAATTGTTCAAAAACTGGTTCATAAAAGTTTGTTTTCTCCACAATGGGAACAAAATTAGAGTGTCTCTAACACGATCCAGTAAACTGGCAATTCGTTTGTAAGTGATGGACTTGAAGTCCAGTAAACTGGTGATTCGTTTGTATAGAGTTAAAAACATAAAGTGAGCATTTGAATTGAAAAGAGAAACTACACGATAGAATTAAAAAGAGAAACTACATCGCAGAATTAGAAAAAGAAACTACACGGTGGAATCAGAAAGAGAAACTAAACGGTGTTATTAGAAAGAAAAACTTAATGGTGGGATTAGGGAAAAAAACACCTAATCAGGATGTTTGAGTGTTGTTAATCCATTTATAGGCATAGCAAAACTGTTTGACAACATGTCAGTTGAATGAGTAGCCTCATACATGGTGTTTACAGAGTTATTGTATATACTCTGAGGAATTTTACTAAAATACTCTTAGCCCACAGTGATCAAATCAGTGTTCAGAAGAACTAAAAACTATAAGCTATTGATTAATATAATCAACAGAAAATATCCCTCCTCAGAACAAATATTGCTACTGCAGATGTATCTCTCCCACAATTGTAAACTTATTGCCACTTTTCACTTTGTTTACTGCTTGATTATATCCAGGTTGAATAAAGTGGTTGCTAAATCACTACTGTAAGTTGTAGAAACATTTAAAGTGTGTTTAAACCAAATTACCTGCATGCTGTTTAGCACTTTGTCGTCAGTTGCCAACTGGTTTTTAAAACCTATGTTTCTAGCACAGTTTTACTGGTGTGCCAAAGCCATGCAAAATGGTCCTTACTTTAGAGAAATGTAATTACCTTTCAGGTCCCTTTGTAGTAATGTTTAAAAATTCATAGATGTTCACAAGAGAAAAACAGTCATAAGATGTTCACATTTAGCACCTCTGTTTGCAGAAATTCGATCACTGGGTCAGTCCAGTGCACTAAAACACCAGTAATCAAACATGTATAGACGCTCAGGGTGTTTCAGTGTTTTCATCCATTCTAGATGTAAATTTGGGTAAACATGTAAAAGTAGACTGGCAAACAGCAACAAAACTAGCCTATAATAATAATAATATTAGTATGTACTGCAGAATTAGACAGCAATTATATTATCAACACAAAAAGTCAATATTTCATGGTTTGCTATACTTCTCTCCAACAGGAATAGAAATTCCCAAAGATGATGAATATGAAGAAAATAGCACAAACACAGACACCAAAGAGCAAAGAGGTGAGATAAGTTATCATACAGTTTGGGTGGCAGTCATTTTCTATTACTGTTTCCCATTTTATTTGATATGTGTGTTGACAAAGCCCACCTGCATCTCTACCAAGTCCAAATAAATGTGTTATCTTTCATCCGTCAGTGCAGCATAGACCACCAATACACTAATGACAAGCTTTCTGTAGACTGGTTCCTGATTGGTTGCGGCTAATGTAGACTGGTTCCTGTGTGGTTCCAGCTAATGTTTTCTTTGGGATAAGGTAACCAGTCTAATGTTAACAACCCTTCATCCTCACCATACCAATTAGGAGTTAATTGACATATGACTGCCAATAGCTGCCTCCAGTGACAGGCATGATAAACAGTTGATTGACATATAACTGTCAATAGCTGCCTCCAATGACATGCAAGATAAACAGTTAATTGACATATAACTGCCAATAGCTGCCTCCAATGACATGCAAGATAAACAGTTGATTGACATATAACTGTCAATAGCTGCCTCCAGTGACAGGCATGATAAACAGTTGATTGACATATAACTGTCAATAGCTGCCTCCAATGACATGCAAGATAAACAGTTGATTGACATATAAATGTCAATAGCTGCCTCCAATGACATGCAAGATAAACAGTTTATTGACATATAACTGCCAATAGCTGCCTCCAATGACATGCAAGATAAACAGTTGATTGACATATAACTGCCAAAAGCTGCCTCCAATGACATGCAAGATAAACAGTTGATTGACATATAACTGCCAATAGCTGCGAAGATGGGTCCTTAATTTGGTTCCTAGTAATTCATAGGTATATAGAAAATAGTAGCAAGATAAATTATTCAACAGTAGTCAATTAAAATAATATTATAAGCATTCAAAAGCTGTAGATTTCTAGCTAAAACACAACTAAGAAAATGATTTTAGTAACAACATGGAACTCACTCACTGCAACATCACATGTGACTAACCCACTGTAACATCACATGTGACTCACCCACTGTAACATCACATGTGACTCACCCCCTGTAACATCACATGTGACTCACCCCCTGTAACATCACTTGTGACTCACCCACTGTAACATCACATGTGACTCACCCCCTGTAACATCACATGTGACTCACCCCCTGTAACATCACATGTGACTCACCCCCTGTAACATCACATGTGACTCACCCACTGTAACATCACATGTGACTCTCCCACTGTAACATCACATGTGACTCTCCCACTGTAACATCACATGTGTCTCACCACCTGTAACATCACATGTGACTCACCCCCTGTAACATCACATGTGACTCACCCCCTGTAACATCCCATTGACTCACCCACTGTAACATCACATGTGACTCACCCCCTGTGACATCACATGTGACTCACCCCCTGTAATATCACATGTGACTCACCCCCTGTAACATCACATGTGACTCACACACTCTAACATCACATGTGACTCACACACTCTAACATCACATGTGACTCACCCACTGTAACATCACATGTGACTCACCCACTGTAACATCACATGTGACTCACCCCCTGTAACATCACATGTGACTCACCCCCTGTAACATCACATGTGACTCACCCCCTGTAACATCACATGTGACTCACCCCCTGTAACATCACATGTGACTCACCCCCTGTAACATCACATGTGACTCACTCACTCTAACATCACATGTGACTCACCCCCTGTAACATCACATGTGACTCACCCCCTGTAACATCACATGTGACTCACCCCCTGTAACATCACATGTGACTCACCCCCTGTAACATCACATGTGACTCACCCCCTGTAACATCACATGTGACTCACCCCCTGTAACATCACATGTGACTCACCCCCTGTAACATCACCATGTGACTCACCCCCTGTAACATCACATGTGACTCACCCCCTGTAACATCACATGTGACTCACCCCCTGTAACATCACATGTGAATCACTCACTGTAACATCACATGTGACTCACTCACTGTAACATCACATGTGACTTACCCCCTGTAACATCACATGTGAATCACCCCCTGTAACATCACATGTGAATCACCCCCTGTAACATCACATGTGAATCACACATATGGCAGTGTCTACCACAGAAAATGAATCATTCCCACAGATTTGACAGTGTACACCCCTAAAAATCAAAGTACAGCTACACAGAATGATAGTGTACACCCACCCACGCAGAATGACAATGTACACCTATACAGAATGACACCATACCCTGCACAAAATGACAGTGTACACGCACACACAATGACAGTGTACACACACACGGAATGACAATGTGCACCTGTAAATGACACCATACCCTACACAGAATGACAGAGTACACCAACACAGAATGACAATGTACACCTTTACAGAATGACACCATACCCTACACAGACATGACAGTGTACACCCACACAGAATGACAATTTACCCTACACAGATGACAGTGTACATCCACATGACAGAGTATGAATTTACATGAGGAACTCATGCCATTATGGCAGCTGGCTGAAACTCCGTCTACGCTTACACAGCTCTGAAATGAAACAAGTCGGATGTAATTCACTGCAGGCTTATGTTTGCACTAAAGTCAGTCAACCGTGAGGGTCATGATTTATTGTCCGTTTTCAGAATCTGAAAACAAGATATTTATTATCAGTGAAAAGCTCCCTGTTGTAGACAGTCTTGAACTGGAAAGTTCAAGTACTCGCAAAGGTATTGTGAGAGCGTTTATACCACTTCTTTTGCCACCCATTTTCCCTGCTACATCTTCAGCTGTCCAGCTATGTTCAGAACTTCATGCTAGGATTCCCAGCTATCCAATGCTGCTCCGAATTATGTGCATTTTATTTCAGCTTATCACAGCCAGATGAAAAAAAAATTATTTTCTTTTTTAACATTGAAATGTTCTTTGCTTGCTGTCTGTTGTAGAAAAGTTGCTAGCACATTTGCCCACCAGTAAAGTGGCTATGTGGTGGAATCATCAAAAAGAGGGGTATTGTTTTTAAACACAGACAGGCTTCCAGGATGACCCAGCATGCACTGTGTAACAGGAAATGGTCTGGGTAATAAATGTGGCCAATGAAATATTGATAACATGACCTATCATGTGTCAACTGGTTGGTAAAAATATTATAATTGCACTGTATACCTAATCGAGAAGGGAAGGCTTTATTAAACTTTGTAATGTTTATTCATGGAAT